CATTCCCCATGATAGGGGGCTTGAAATAAGAGTGCGTACTTGCTTCTCCCTTCTTCTCCATCTACTTGACGGCAATGTTTCAGGAGATTCAAAGACGACAACTCTTGAATCGTCCTTCGATACCGCAACAATGGCGGCGTCTTCAATATAGATCGCCTTCGGTCCACGACTTGAACAACAAACACACGCGTCACAGAGTTCCAATACGCCGATGACAACTACACCATGGTCCATGAACTAGAAAAACCTCAAAACATAGCGGACAACTTCTCCAAATGGTCGCTTCCTTTACCGCGCCAGTACCTACCTAACTCTGGCGCAAAAACCAGATCGGGCCTAAAATAGAGTACCGCTTTCATATTTAAACAGAAGCTGTCCAGTTTTCACTTTCCAATCTCCATAGAGCTCAAAAGCGTCTCCGCGTCCTTGTGGGTGATGAATTATTTTCCACTCCCCAACCCCTTCCTCACAGTTGACACATTCTATCGCTATTTCTATGGAAAGTGATCAGATGAACTGCATTCCTTAGTTCCACTCTGTAACTCTCTAGCTTGAAGGCCTTGTACAGGGAGAACCTCGCTGTAAAAGAAGAAAAATCAAGAACACAATAGACAACGATTTACGGTGCATTTAAATTTTTGAAGATCAAAGTTGACTAGAAAGCAGGGAGCCGAAAGTGATTTCCACAAGTATTGAGAGAGAAGAAAATTTTAGCATAGAACTTACGATTATATCTAACCGATTTAAAAGTGAATTTATGAGAGCTTGCCTTCAATCTAGTATTGCTCTTAAATTCGTAAAGTCTAGGTACCAAAGCGGAGAGTTCATCCAAACAATTACCATGAAATTGTTTATAGAAAAGGCACCAGGAAACTACATTACGGCGGTGGGAAACTGACTGAAGTCGAGACACCAATTCAGGACCAATAATATCAAGAATACCTAAATATACACCAAGAGCGCAGGACCATATCTGGTCACTCGTGAATCTACTTCACGATACTGATAATCATCGGTCGAAAATAAATGTTCCGAATTCATTTTTGCAACTGTCTCCAATTTAATAAGACTTCAGCAGAGTGATATTGCTACAATCATCTTACTTATTATAAAGCGCAGATTGTGTGTGTGTGTGTCTGTACGTTTATATATTGGATCGGATTTCCTAAATTTTTCAACCGATTTCAACAAAACCTCACAGGACGACGTAAAATTACCTTGCGGTGGTTCTGACAGCGCCAAATAATGGAAAAACACAATTGTTTTTGCACAAAATCAATTTGAAAACACGATTAAGAGGCATCGCGAGAATGAAAGGGGAACAACTCGTATCGAGTTATACTTATTATAAAACCCAGGTTGTTTGTGAGTGTGTGTGTTCGTTTATATATGGGATCGGATTTCCTACATTTTTCAACCGATTTCAACAAAACTTCCCTTTTTTTTGGCAGGTAGTGTTTCTTATTGTATTGCACGCTTTTTTCTTTATTTTTACATTCAGAATGCTTTAAAAATTCCATTTACAAGACAATTGTTTATAATAAAATTCTATTCAATCGGTAGATCCATAACGATTGAAAACAATGTTTTTGTTTGAGTTTGGGTTTGACCAATTCGTAAAGAAAAAAAAAACAAAAAAACTAATTAAGACATGCATGTCCGTCAAGCTTAAACAATAATCTTTGTCAGTTTTATTTTTCAGTCTTTATGATGGTTGATACTTGATCTGTCTCTTACTGTTACATCCTCGGGCAACGCCGGGCTCTACTGTTAGTATATAATATTAAGTTTAAGGCATAAAACATTGAAAAATTGACTCATCAAACATAATCATTACACGTAAAACATTAAAACAGGAAATTGGTGATCATATCTCTCCACAGATTCCTATCCTTTGTAGCTCTCAGCAACGTTTGCCTTTTCATCGCCATTTTCTGTTAATCCGTTCCCCTTAATTCTAGGGTTCGTTACTCGCAGTTTGCCGCAGTCCATCTTGCGTTTGATGTTATGTGAGTGTCAATTTGTCATCTTTCCTCCTTATGCGTCATAGAAATTTATTTTTCACACACTAAGTCTACTTGTCCTTTTTCAAATTTTCTTTAGAACTTCCTCATAACTCACAGGTTTCGTCAATGTTATTCCCAGTATCCTTCTGTAGAACCACATTTCTGTTGCCACGCGTACGTTACGGGTGTTGACGATGGAATACCAAACATTTTTATGGTAATGGTAAAACAACAATGGTAATGGATTAAACAACAATTTTAATGGTTAGCAACAATGATAATGGTCAACCAACAATGGTATTTGTTAAACAACAATGGTAATAGGAAAAACAATAATGGCAATGGTCAACCAACAATGGTACAGTGTTAAAAACAATGGTAATGGTTAATCAACAATGTTAATGGGCTAAAGAACAATGGTAATAGGTTAAACAACAATGGAAATAGTGAGCCAACAATGGTAATGGGTTGACTAACAATGGTAATGGTTAAACAACAATGGTAATACTTAAATAACAATTGCAAAGTTTAAAGAGCTATGAGAACGGGTTAAACAATAATGGTAATGTGTTAAACAGCAATGGTAATGGTTAAACAACAATGGTAATGGGTTAAACGACAATTGTAATGGCTAAACAACAATGGCAATGGTTAGACAACAATGGTAATGGTTAAACAACAATAGTAATAGTTGAATAACAATTGCAATGTTTAAACAGCTATGGGAATGGGTTAAACAACAATGGTAATGTGTTAAACAACAATGGTAATATGTTAAACACCAATTGGAATGGTTTAAACGACAATTGTCATGGTTAAAAAACAATGGTAATGGTTTGGCAACAATGGTAATGGTTAGGCAATAATGGTAATGGGTTAAAACAGGGAGACATGAAGAAGTGGTTCGATGTGGTGCAAAGCGCCTGAAACGAAACTGAAACAGGCGTTACTTCGAAATAACAGAATCTTTCGAGGATGAGTCAATACTTTCAGTCACGCGGTTGTGCCTCAAAAATGAGATCGTTACAAATCGAAAACAGACTTTGCGTCTGTATTGATTGTTTTTATAATATGGAAAGTTGTCAGCATATCGGTTGAATATATATATATATATATATATATATATATATATATATATATATAATGAATCATTCACACAAAAAGTAAATTAGTAAAGTTAATGAGATAAAATGGCGAATTCACTTCCCTAACTAAATTTTTAAAATGCATTAAACCCACTAACCACTCGATGAATGTGATGTTCCTTGCTTTTTTAAAATGATAAATTATTACATTTATAATGTAAAAAAAACAAACCTCAAAACAATGAGTTCAGCAATGTAAGCACGAAGAGGCAGGGACATAGCCAGTTCCTTCACATATCCCCATAAAAAGAAATCACACGGGGACAGGTCCGGTGACACGGCGACCATTTCACCCGAAAAATGTCTTCATCTCCATCACGCCCGATCCATCTCTCTGGTAGATTCTCATTGAGATAAGCACGTACTGTCCTCTTGCATTAAATATAAAGTCTTGATCTGTTTCTATAAAATCTGTGAAAATTTGTGGTTATTTCAACAAGAATTGCCAAAATTATTGGCATGCACAATGATGTCAAATATTTTGGGACACTTTCTCTCTCTCTCTCTCTCTCTCTCTCTATATATATATATATATATATATATATATATATATATATATATATATATATATATATGCTAACTCGACGAATTTAATTATGTTTTTCATGTACCTACATTCTAGGGTCGAGCGTCTGCGGCATTTATGACTGGTTAACGACATTATGACACACTCACAGAACTACTAGATAAAAGTGTTTTGACCATGATTGTTGTCACCATGCAAAGCGTATATATATATATATATATATATATATATATTGATGCATGTTTCATTAAATAATATAAACAAGTTTTGTCTATTTTATGTAAATTATTTTCATATCGTCTGATAAGCTTAATAACATTATCATTAAAAGATAAAACAAAAACTCCATATTGATACATATTTTTTAATCCTATCTAAATTTTCGGCTTACATAAACCATTATCAAAAATGACAATTAAATTACAGTATATTAAACAATACACGGACAAAACAATAATAATAGTCTGTTTTTGTTTACATGGAGGATTTCTATGCAACGACAAACTAGTTCATACGAGGCGCTGCACTGCAGCTCATGACATCACACATGACCACGCGAGAGTGAAAACGAGAAGTATTACGTATGGGAAGCCATTGGTGTAAATACACACAAACACAATATATATATATATATATATATATATATATATATATATATATATATATATATATATATAAGACCGAGATGATTACTAGCATTATTTACGTTATTCAGACTGTTATCCTGATCCTAATTACTATATTCACGATACTTCAACAGTTGTACGCTCCTGGCTTCTTCAGGTTATTAGAATTTCGAACCGAACCCTTTTATTTCGTCCACCAGAACTCCAAGTTTAGGTTCACCACTGCTGTGGCCTCGAGTTAAACTCACAACTCTTTGAGTTAGTCACTTGAGGATGCATAGCCATGTGGAGAAAGACGTTGGTTAGATCCAGTGACTAGAACCAAAGAGATTTGTGTTCAATACCAGGCCACAGCAGTGATGAACCTAAAACTTGGAGACAAGTTAAAGGGAAATAACTGAGACATCCGGAAGAGGCATGGCACGTGGAACTAGAATAATCTATCCCGCTGGACGAAATAAAGGCTTCGGTTCGAAATTCCAATCACCCGAAGACGTCAGAGCGTACAACGACTGAAAAGTTGCGAATAGGGAAATTAAGATGAAAATAACAGTCCGAATAGCGTAAATAATGCTATATATATATATATATATATATATATATATATATATATATATATATATATATATATATATGCTTCTGATCGGCGTTTTAGATTTATTAAGACTAGATTTCTCCTTCCTTCTACATTTTTTTCATGCTTCATTTTTTTATCTTTACAATCTTCCTCTATTCTTCCTGTTTTCATTTCTTTCTGTTCACTTCCTTTCTTCCATCATGTTTCACTCTCACCTTCTTTCTTTCCTTCTTTTTTTCTAATTTCCCTTCCTACCAGTTTCTATTCCTTTTTTCCTTTCTAATCTCACCCATTTCCTCCCTTTCTCCTTCATTACTTCATTCCAGGTAAACCTCTTTCTTCATTCGTCATTCATTCATTTTACCCCTTCTTTCTTCAATCCAGGTGCAACTGCTTACTCCCATTCATTCGTCCATCCTTCCTTCTTCCTTCCTTCCTTCCTTCCTTTTATCCCTCCTTTCTTTATTCCAGGTGTAACACCCCCTCCTCTTTCCCCTTCACCTTCCTTCCTTTTATCCCTCCTTTCTTTATTCCAGGTGTAACATCTCCTACTCTTCCCACTTCACCTTCCTTCCTTCTTTCCTTCCTTCCTTTTATCCCTCCTTTCTTTATTCCAGATGTAACACCCCCCTTCCCCCTTCCTTCCTTCCTTCATTCCTTCTTTCCTTCCTTCCTTTCTTTCTTTATTCCAGGTGTAACACCTCCTCCCCTTCCCCCTTCACCTTCCTTCCTTCCTTTCTTCCTTCCGTCCTTTTATCCCTCCTTTCTTTATTCCAGGTGTAACACCCCTCCCTTCCTTCCTTCCTTCCTTTCTTTTATCCCCCTTTCTTTATTCCAGGTGTAACACCCCTCCTCTTAACCCCTTCACCTTCCTTCCTTTTTATCCCTCCTTTCTTTATTCCAGGTGTAACACCTCCTCCCCTTCGCCTTCACCTTCCTTCCTTCTTTCCTTCCTTCCTTTTATCCCTCCTTTCTTTATTCCAGGTGTAACACCCCATCCTCCCCTTCCTTCCTTCCTTCCCTTCCTTCCTTCCTTCCTTCCTTCCTTCCTTCCTTCCTTCCTTCCTTCCTTCCAGGTATAACACCTCCTCCCCTTCCCCCTTCACCTTCCTTCCTTCCTTTCTTCCTTCCGTCCTTTTATCCCTCCTTTCTTTATTCCAGGTGTAACACCCCCCTCCCAATTCCTTCCTTCCTTCCTTCCTTCCTTCCTTCCTTCCTTCCTTCCTTCCTTCCTTCCTTCCTTCCTTCCATCTTTCCTTTCCATCTTTCTTTTTATTACAACTCAGATTTCTTCTATTACTTCATTCTCATTTCCTTTCTTTCCATATTTCGTTTTTCTTTCCTTTCTTCATTTTCACCAACTTTAATTCATTTCTTCTTGCCTTCTTTCATGCCTGTCAACCTTTTCTCCTTTCTTTTTTTTTTCTTTTCGTATACTTATTCATTATTCCCGCCTTCCTTTCAACTGAACTCTTTTTCTTTCTACAATTTTCCTTTAATGACACTTCCCTTATTTCCAATTCTCAAATCTATCATCCGGCCTTATTCTCACAGCGCTATCTGTAATTTATTTATTACTTACAAAGCATAATTAGTTAAATGTCAGAAGCATTTTCCATTCTCCTATTGAAATTTAAAAACGATGAAAAAAAATAGCTTTACCAAATATATTTTCTGGGAATTATATAAATAAAATGAAATATATTGGCAAGAATGAGTGTTCCAGAGATCGGATGTAAATGAATGTAAATTTAATTTAATCAAATAGACTTATATTAAATTTAAAAAAAAAAAAGATCGATGAGAAAGTAAAATGCGAATAAAATCTAATAAAAAGGGCGCTTGCAAAATGTGAACGTCTCTATTGAACCCAAATAAACAAAATGACGAATAAAAACGAAACTTTTCGCTGATTAATCATGATCAGATGACAGAGATCGATAAATATGTTACTAGGCACAGGAGAAAAAAAGGGCCGAAATGAAAATAAGGAAAAAGAGGCCATTGTTATTTCAAAACAGCATGCACCAGTTTGCAGAAGAGTATTAGTGAAAGTTCATAACAAAATTTTAAAAGATCTTGAAAATAAACACGTGACAGATTTACATTATGAGAGCAACGATTATTATTATTATTATTATTATTATTATTATTATTATTATTATTATTTCTTTTGATTTCTTGTGTGTATACATTTCTTTCCGGGTCCCGCTCAGAAACCTAAGGTTAGAAATGGCATCATGACATTTTCCACTGACCAATTAAAAAAAAAAAAGAAACACAAACATAATTTACATAGATAAGCCCGTCGTAAGGTATGGGCTGTACTCGTGAGAACAATTTTTTGTATTTCTTTAAGGCATGGGTATCCAGGAATCCCTGCAATTAGTCTACTGGAATCTTTTCCAACCAAACCGAGGGGTCCAACTACAACAGAGATTGTTGATTTTCCCATGTGCCACATTTTTGAGATTTCGATTTGAATGTCCTTGTATTTTCATATCTTTTTGAAGATCTTCAAAGATGCATTGCAGTCTGCAGGGACTGTCATATCAATAGGGTGACACTGTTTTTGTTTGCAGTCTCTAATAACAATGCCTGGACTGTTGGCTTTGATTGT